TTAATAACCAATGTATTTCATTACGCAAACGAAATACTGATGGTTGTGTATTTAATATAGGTACATGAAGAATTTCATCTTTTGATTGACATGTCTAAGATTGTATGAAAATAAAAAATAATAAAAAAATAAAACCGATTTTTTTTGACTTCAATAACATACGCTATGAAGAAAATATGCATAGACACATGCACTTATAGCCGAATCAAGATCACAAGCTTCATTACCCAAAACAATACGAATGAGACGAAATTTTACCAAATTGTTCTTATATTTACAAAAAAAACAAAAATAATTCTAAGAGTTTATTTTTAAATAATAATCAATCAAAACTTCTTTTCATCCTATATCGACATGTTATACATGAAAATTCTTCATCAAACTATATAGATAAATATATAATTTTATGTCCTACCAGCTGAGATTTGACATATATTAAATAATCAGTAAAATTCATTATTAACTTAAATAATCTAAAACTAAAATCAAACACGATATTTTATCTTAATTCTTTGATCAAAAAAAAAAAACAACAACTCATTATATTAGTTTCATATAAAACAAATTCATATGAGGATAATGGTATAAGTATCTTCTCTATACTATTCGATTTTGATATATCAGTAAATATAAAACAATCATCAATGATTATATCATTACAACATATTAGATAAGTTTGACATCCTTTAGCCGATATTTCATCACTAAGTCTAATTCAGAAATAATTTTTTTGTTTTAATTAAAACAAACAATAACAATCCAAGAAATCATTGCTTTAAATATTTGTATTATATATTTTATATATACAGAATAAAACGAAATTCAATTGATGACCTATATAGATTGAAAATTTATTTATATCAAATACTGAAAAACATCTGTTAATGTATGAAATATAAAAAGATGAATAAAATTTTCTATGTCGTGGATTTATATATATATTATTTGATAGATTTCTTATTTAATATTAATAATTATTACAAAAATGATTGATATAGAAATAAAAATTTATTTAAATTTAAAAATAAAATAATTTGATTCATCAAAAAATATGATTCATTTGTTTCTAAATGATTTTAAAATTTGATGAAATTTATTAATTTTAAGATATATATAAGAATTAATTCAAGATCTAGTAATGTTTCTCTTTTCAATAAGAATTTAAATTCATTATTACTTTATTTTTCAACTTATTTGAATCTTTTATCAAGAAACAATCTATTTACAAACAAAAAATGACATGATTCATACAAAAACAACAAATATTTATATGAAAAAAAAAAACAAATGACTGTAATAATATTAATGAAACATAATGTATGTAGGCCACTTTTGAGTAATAACATAAAACGTAAGATAACACCGGTTGAGATAATTTACATACACTTTGACATCACCATTACATTAAAAGGGAGCATACAGCCTCTATAAATTAGAAAGAGGGCGTTAAATAACAGTGATTGCATGGTATACACTCGTATATAATCTCATTCGAAAAAAAAAAACATAAATTATTTGATTATACTGATTTCAGTATGATACAATTGAAATCATACCATGAGTAATTAGATATACAGTAAGTGCCATAAGTGGGCACGATTGAAAAAACGAGGAAGACAAAGGAATTGTTTTATTATATTTAACTCTATGATCATTCTATTTTCATTGTTCAGACGATTTAAATAATACGGAAAAGCTTTTCTTACGAAACGGTAATTTGAGGAGAACTATTCTCGATGAAAGATGATGGAAGAATATTGAAAAAGAAAGAGTAACATTTTAAGCGATCAATTGTTTGTTTTGTCTTCATACAGTTGTTATACTAATTTTCTTTTTGAATAGATTCTTGTGTCTATATCCAGATGGTCGTTTTTACAATAGAAAATCAACTGAAGAACTTTCAAAAACTGAAGTTTCGATTACTTATGACTTTTACTCTACTTGGGATTTTGATGACAATGAATCATACGAAGAAGGTGATGAACAAACACTTGGACACGGTGATTTTTATATATACAATCTGATGCTTTTATCAATACTGCCTCCTTCATCGTCGATGACGACAAAGGTGCTCGTAACTGTTGGATACATTATATCTGTGCAAATTGTTAATGAGAGAACTACTTGACTTGGTCGTCTTTGCAATCAAAAGAATATACCAGGTGTTCCATTACCCGTAGTTTTCGTTTCGATGTATGTTGTTACTTTAGATATGTTTATAGAATGCTGTACAAGCGATGATACTAGAATTTTTGAAAATGTATGTTGAAATTCTCATTAAATGGATTGTGTTTTGTCAGAATATATATTCATATTTCAGTCATTATCATGAGAACCAGAAAAGAAAAGGTCAGTTTGTTCTTTTCATACTAGTCTAGTGGTATAATGAAAATAGAACTACAGACACTGAACTAGGGATGTCAATTTATATTTAGTTTCAATTTGATTTACGCATAAATTAATTTAAAAACAATTCAGAATTGAAAAATATATTTAAAAGATTTTCATTTATCAATTTATTAAATTAAAATTAAATAAAATAATTCTACTTTTTTATAGTGCTTCATATAACGAATATATATCATATCTTTTAATATTATCTGTATCCATAAATCAAGTGTTATACATTGTTTTGATTGAACCAACATGTTCGCGTCTAGTAACAAACTGTGTTTCTCTACAGAGCGACTTTTTTTGAAGATTCAAGGTTGAGCTTATGTAATAGAAAGATGTTTTCAACTCTTATTTTCTACTTTATAATATTTTTCGCCAAGTAGTCTACTATGATAGGTTTATCCCTACTGAAACACTGAAAAATATCCTTCCAATGTGTTTCTTTTCCTCAAGTGATTGAAACATATCTGCGGAGTCGATATTATTCTTCCGATAGGTGTCCTCTCTTAGAACACTCAGAGCTTCGATAAGTACCGAGTGGTCAAAATGTATTCGAGGAGTCGAAGATGAGTGTATGTGTATCCACAAGACCTTCACCGATAACTCCTTGCTTGCTCACCCTACATGACGTTTCTTATCAACCAATCAGAAAAAAAAATGTTATTTTTATTTTTTTAAATTTCAGTATTTTATATTTAAAATATTTTTTTTTTCATAATAAAAATATTTTGAAATCGATTTCTCATAGTTTTTTTTATTTTTAAATCGATTCCTATTCGTTAAAAATAAAACAATAAAGGTCAATCTACATCCATATTCAATATGGTTAGTGAAATATCATCTATATAGATTATACATTATTTCGTTGTTGTTTTTTTTATAGACGCCAAATGACGTATCAATATTTATTTTTTTCTTCTCTTTTGGCATTATGATTTCTTTACTTTTGTTTATAATTAACATCTCGAGTTGTTCTCATTTGTATGACAAGTATGATAATTTAGGAAATGAAAAATAATAAAAGAAAATATCAAGAAGATGAATAGTATATTGTATTGTGTATATAATTCGCTTATTCGTTCGACGAATATGCCGAATGTGTATGTTCAGACGGAGTCTATCTTGTTCACAGGCAAAAAAAAAAGAAAACAAATACATCTGGATTGTTCTTATTAAATTTGTTATTTTAATCCAGTTGAAAATAAATTTATATCAACAGCGAAATGTACCATACGAAAAAAAAAACGCATGAAGTTTTTAGATTAACGCCATTTTATTATTGTATTTAATACAAATAACAATATATACATATTGAAATGGCCAATTCGGACAAACTTGGTCTTGGACTTGACGATATCATTCGATTAGATCGTACAACAAATCGACGTGGTGGTGGTGGTCGTGGTGGTGGTGGAAATCGAGGATTTCGAGTACGTACTGGTCGAGGAAGTGCTAATGGATTTCGAACTCGTGGTGGTGGTGCGCTGGTAAGTTTGTTTTTTTATTTTGATTTATTTTGTTCATTTTTATTTTAGCCTCGAATATCTAATCCATCAGCAACAGGTCGTTGGAAACATGATCTTTATGATGATAATACAAATCGAAATCGAGAAATACAACGAAATACTGGTGTGAATAGTACAACAAAATTACTTATTTCAAATCTTGATTTTGGTGTAACTACAAATGATATTATAGTAAGAATTTTGTTTTTTTGTGTTAAAAATATTTTTCTTTATTGTTTTTGTTTTTTTTTTTTTTTTTAGGAATTATTTGAAGATATAGGAGCTGTACGTGTAGCTCGTGTACATTTTGATGAAACTGGTCGATCATTAGGTACAGCTGAAGTTATATATGAACGTCGTGCTGATGCTATTACTGCTCAACAAAAATATAATACTCTTAATCTTGATGGTATATATTATTGAAAACAAAAAAAAAGAGAAATTTAATAATAGAATATTGTTTTTATGTTTAGGTCGTCCAATGGACATTAGACTCGTCGGCAATATCGATGATGGATCTAAACAACAATTAAATCGTTTTTCATTAGGTAATGTTGGTAATAATAGACCTCAACGATCTGGTTTTCGTAATACTAATCAACAAAATAATATTCGAGGTAATCGAACACGTGGTGGTAGACAACAACAAAATGGTTCTAGTGGAAAAAAAGAAGAAGTTACAGCTGAAGATCTTGATGCTGAACTTGATGCATATCGTGCTGAAAGCAAACAAAAAAAATAATAATATTTATTCATTTTGTTCTTTGTTTTTTCTTTTTCTTTATATGTTGTATATGAAACTATTCAATTTATATGTATACAGACATAACATGTTTTGAAAAACGTATCATATTTGATTGATTTCATTTTGTTTTTTTGTTGTTGTTGTTTAATACATGTCATCAATTGTATTTGCTCTTGTTTTTTTTGCTAGTAATGTGTATGTGTGTGTACTCTTATGTTTTCTTTTTTTTTTGTATAATTACTGTGTGAGTCAACCGGTTGTTTAAAAATCAGACATAAAAAAAGAAAATATATAACCATCCGATCACATAGTTAAAATGTGAACAAAACAAAAATGATTATTCAGTAGTTTTTGTTTTAAAATTTCTTTCGACGTAAATAATGATCCTGAAATAGAAAAAGAAAATAAGTTGGATCGTCATTTACAAAATCAATTATATAATCTTGAATAGAAGTAGCTGTTCCTAATGAAGTACTACTATTCTTTATGATATTAAGTTGATATTTTCGATACATACATGTGACAATACACCCTGCATTCGTTCACAGGTAATGGATCATTACTTCACGCATAATCTTTTTCTTGTGATTATCTTATCTGAATCGTGTTAGTAAAAAAATTTTTGTTCAACCTCTCATTCGAATCGCTAATGCAATAGCTAATTTTAGTTCGAATTTTGTTAGAAATTACATTAAAATAACTGAGATAGTGTTTTCTCATTAAGAATATCTGTTGGAAAGTAAATACTGTTTTTTTTTTTATTGAGGTGAATCTTTTCTCTGAGACGATGAGTTACTTCAGAAAGTTTTAGAGCTGCAGCACTGAATCAAGTCGAGTTAGCACTACGACAAGGACTTACTATCTCAGGGTAGCTTATGGAATAGCAAAATGACAAACAAAAACTTTCTGAGTAAATATTTTCGCTGTATATGTTTGAATCATAACATATGAACCGATCAAAATAATAGCATTTCATAGGTAGCAGCTACTTTTATTCAGGACTGTAGTTGAAAATTGTTAATCATAATTTTTTTCATCCAGACTTAACGCAAAAGATGTACAATGTTTATATTGAAATGAAAGAAACAAAACATACATTGAAAAAGTATAACAAACAACAATTCAATAACATATGAAAAGAAAAGTTAATGGAAAAAAGCTAAAAATATAATAAAGTATGAAATTCCTTGAAACAATTAACAACACAAAGATCTACATTACAATCTTGACATATATAACATGAATTAGTCCTTTTTCTAGATTTTCGACTAATATCTGTGCGCATACAACACAAATTTTCTGAGTAGGTTTTTCTATTTGCTGTTTAAGATACACGAGATGGAAAGTGGTTCGCTAAATGTAGGACGATCTATTATAGATTTTAGAGCACACTAAGTTTTTAAGATTTTACAAATAAGTTGTAAACGATAATCTACAAATTTAAATTTCTTTCTGGTATTGTCTTTATAAAACAAATATGCAATGAATAATGATGAACTACACATGAACTAAATATATGTATACTATACCGACACTATTTCATAGTGTCTATATGTGTTAACATATAATTTAGAATAAAATTTATATTATTTTTAGGTTATCGAAAGATTTCTTTTCTTAGTCAAATATATATGAAATTAATCTCCAAAGAATTAATGTGTATATATCATTATTTGTTTTCAAAAACAAAAAAAAAAAGAATTTAACATTTACATAGAGAATAATTTGTAAATATCCAATTGCATTTATACTTGTTCGTGTTGTTCCATCTCCATAATGTTTTGATTCTGGATCAACATAAACAATTTTTCTATCATGTTCACATCGAAATTGTATTCCATTAACATCGGATAATAAATGAAAATTATTTGTATCATTTGATGTACACATATGTGTATCCCAATTATAAAAACTTAAATCTGTTGTTAATGGTATAAGTTTATTTTGTCCAATAAAAAATTGTGTAAAATCTTCAAATTTTAATCGATATGCATAATCAATATATGCTGATATTTCATGACCAATATTATTTCGATTACGTATAAATATAATTGTTAATAAACGTGTTGTTCGATTAGCTTCTTCACGTAAAGCAAGTTCTTTAGCAAATGGTTCAATAATAGTTAATGAATCACTTATTATACGTATTGGACCTTGTCGACGAGATTGAAGAATAAATTCAGCACGATTTTTACGTTCTTGAAAATCTTTTCGAGATATAGCATGACCAATACCTCGATAACCTAATTCAACAAATTCACGTGCTATATCACTATCCTTAACATTGAAACAAAAAAAATAATAATAATAATACAGAACAATTAACTTTTGTTATAGTTGTTTATTAAAAACAAAAATCTTACTTGTAAATAATTTTGATCAATTTCTGATATTTGACTATCGAGAAATGCTTCATATGCTAGAAAATACTTTTGATTTGAATATTAATATCAAACGAAAGATCAAGAGAAATTCTAATCAAAATATACAGAAATTCTCATCACTACAATCTATTGCTTTGTAAAAAAAAAACAAATTACAATAAATTTAAATTCATATGCTCTTTCAGATGTATTAATTACATTTCTCAACCTACTAGTAAATTCGGTAACAAAATCAGTCATTGCATTTTGATCGTCATCAATATTAAATTGACGAACTGGTTTCTATAAATATTCTATGTAATATATTAAAAAGATAAATTAATTATATTACTTACACTTTTAGATATACTCATTGTTCAATGATTAATTAAAATATCTATTCCCGCTTTTTTTTCCAACATAATAATAAGTGTACAAACGCCCTCTGTAGAATTTTTCCTCAACATTTTTCTCTTTCTAGTTTCATCAACGTTCTATTGGTATATATACCACGTAGCTGTGGTAAAATAGTGGCAAACAAATAGTTAAAATATCTCTATAGTATAAATTTGAGAAAATACTTGAAAAAAAATAATAATTGAGATTTAATGTCAAATAACTATTTGATAGAATATTTTTCCAAAAATAAAACAAATAAAAAATTCATATTCTTCTAGAAAGCAAAAAAAAAAAGACATTAGAATCAATATACATATTCAAATAAATTCAATGTCAGCCGGTATAACTTTGAAAACTAATGCTTTTGTTTTTCTTTCATAAATTCTTTACCTTTATCTAACAGGAAAAATTATTCATCGTTATTTTCATCAATTAATTCATGGCTGTGGTATATAAAAAAAAAGATTTAATTTACTTCAATTTTCATTAAGATTCTCTTTTTTTGTTTTAATCAATAGGAAATAATCAATGTTCAAATATCTATTGTCAATCAAGTTCATTATTTAAATATGATAAAACAATTTTAAATGATCGAAATGAAGTAGCTGCTGAAGCTATTCGACTTAGTTTAGAACATGTACCATTATGTGTTGATGAAAATATTATAAAAGAATATGAAGAAAAAATGGAAATAAATAAGTTAACAGAAAATAATCTTCAAGAATTAATTAATCATTGTAAAAAAATTGATAATTGGAATTTATTAAATAAATCAATAGAAGATATTTTTTCAAATCGATTAAATTTATTAAATAGTTTTTTAAAAGAAGATTTTTCGAATAATATTTCAATTAATAAAGAATTTTCATCAACAGCAAGTGCTACACCAAAAAGTAAAATATTCATATATTCTTCTTCTTTAAATTTTTTTTTGTTTTTTGAAATAAATTTTAGGTTTTTTTATACAT